ACATGGATCTCGTTGAGTACAACGGACGTGAGGGGTGCTCATACCTTCCCCTTGCGTAACCGACTCCCGAACCCAAGATTTGGTTGCGATGACCTTGTCTTTTCCTGTTCTTTTAGGTTTTCTTTGATCGTTTCCTTTCCCTATCTTTGGGATAAATAATGTTCGGTGGTGACTCTTCTGTTTGTTTCCGCCGTCCCTTTTTAGCAGTTGCGATAGATTCAAATCAACCAAGCCGAAGAAGACGGTGAGGAAAGTTGTGAAATACCGGCTGAACTGGAAAGGCTCCTTGAGCACGAGCAGAAAGAGATTCAGCCATATAAAGAGTCAGTGGAAGTTGTCAATCTTGGTACTGATGACATCAGAAAATAAGTCAAGGTTGGGGCATCTGTCGCTGAGCATGTACATTTCGAGTTGGTCAAGTTATTGAAAAAGTATGTTGATATCTTCGTCTGGTCCTATCAAGATATGCCTGGGTTGGATACCAACATCGTTGAACATCACTTGCCACTCAAGCCCAAATGTCCTTCTGTCAAACAAAAACTCAGAAGGACCAGACCCGACATGTCACTTAAAATTAGAGAAGCGATAAATAAATAGTTTAACGTTGGGTTCCTAGCCACTTTCAAATATCTTGAATGGGTTACTAATATCGTTCTGATTTCTAAGAAAGATGGGAAGGTCAGGATGTGTGTGGATTATCGAGATCTCAATAAGGCAATCCCGAAAGACGATTTTCCTCTACCTCATATTTATGTCTTTGTGGATAATACTGCACAGTTCTCTATCTTTTCATTTATGGATGGTTTCTTATGATACAATCGGATCAAGATGTCCCAACCTGACATGGAGAAGACTACCTTCATCACACCTTGGGGTACATACTGCTACAAATTTATGCCATTTGGATTGAAAAACACAGGGGCAACATACCAACGTGCTATGACAACTCTCTTTTATGATATGATCCATAAAGAGATTGAGGTTTATGTGGACGATATGATTGCCAAGTCCAGAACTGAAGATGATCATTTGAGCCATCTGAAGAAACAATTTAACAGATTCCAAAAGTTCAGACTGCATTTGAATCCTACAAAGTGCACCTTTGGAGTTCGATATGGAAAACTGTTGGGCTTTGTTGTGAGTCAGAAAGGCATTGAAGTTGATCCTGACAAGGTTCAGGCAATTCAAGACATGCTGCCTCCCAAAATGGAAAAAGAAGTCTGTGGATTTTTGGGATGACTTCATTACATATCCAGATTCATTTCTCATTTGACAGCTACCCGTGAACCGATATTCAAGTTGCTAAGAAAAAATAAATCTGTTGAATGGAACAATGATTGTCAAGAAGCATTTGACCAAATAAAAATAATACTTACAAGAGCCACCTATCTTAGTACCGTCGGTTCCTGGTAGGCCTTTAATCATGTATCTCACTGTTCTCGATGAATCTATGGGTTGTGTATTAGATCAACATGATGACACTGGCAAAAAAGAACATGCAATTTACTATATGAGCAAGAAGTTCACCGATTGTGAGACCAAATACTCACTATTAGAGAAAACCTGTTGTGTTTTAGTTTGGGTTGCTCGACGCCTAAGACAATATATGATTTTCCATACTACTTTATTGATATCCAAAATGGACCTAATAAAGTACATATTCAAAAAGCCTGCTGTCTCTGGACGAATTTCTCGGTGGCAAATGTTGTTAACTGAGTAAGACATCTAACATGTTACCTAGAAAGCAATAAAAGGGAGCGTCTTGTCTAAATACCTTGTTCATCAACTTGTGAAGGGTTATCAACAAATGAAGTTTGACTTTCCAGACGAGGATGTTCTGTTTATCAGAGATTATGAGACTCCAGACCCTGACATAGGACCCGAACCAAGGGCGCGATGGACGCTCGTGTTCGATGGTGCCTCTAGTGCAAAAGGTAGTGGAATTGATGATATCCTCATATCTTCGATAGGTTTTCATCTTCCCTTCACCGCCAGATTATGCTTTGAATGCACCAATAATATGGCTGAATACGAAACATGTATCTACAGAATTGAAGCGACAATTGACATGAGAATCAAGATTCTTGAGGTCTATGGAGATTCTGCTTTGGTGATTGGCCAAGTCAGAGGAAACTTTGTGACTCGGGATTCCAAGCTGGTTCCGTACCAAAAGCACATCGCAAAATTGATTCCCTATTTTGATGAAATCTCTTTTCATCATATCCCTAGGGAAGAGAATAACCTAGCTGATGCTTTTGCTACCCTGGCATCCATGTTCAAAGTCAAGTGGAAGAACGAAGCTCCTTCTATCCGCATTGATCATTTGAACAAACCAGCATATTGTCTAGCAATCGAGGACGAGTCTGATGACAAGCCTTGGTTCTACGACATCAAAAGATATCTGGAAAAGCAGGAATATCTCAAGGGTATCACTATCACTGACAAGAAACCTCTCAGACGGCTCTGCACCAAGTTTTTCTTGAGTGGTGGTATATTGTACAAGAGGAATTATGACTATGTGTTGCTCAGATGCATGGATAGACACGAAGCAAACACGATCATCAGGTCCATACATGAGGGTTGCGAGGGTGTACATGCCAAAAGGTCTGCTATAGCCAAAAAGATCCTTCGAGCTGGTTATTACTGGACGACAAAGGAGGTAAGTCAAACCTACCGTGACAAGATCCATGTGCCACCAACTCCATTGAATGTTTTAACTTCTCCTTGACCCTTTTCTATGTGGGGTATTGATATGATTGGAATGATCGAGCCGAAGGCTTCTAACGATAATCACTTCATTTTGGTTGCTATCAATTACTTTACCAGGTGGATTGAAGTTGCTTCTTACATCAACCTTACACGACTAGTGGTTGCCAGATTTATCAAGAAAGAGATCATTTGTCGCTATGACATTCCTAGCAATATTAATACTGACAATGCGAGCAACTTGAACAACAAGATGATGAAGGATTTGTTTCAAGAATTCAAGATCGAGCACCACAACTCTTCACCATATCGGTCCAAGATGAATGACACTGTCGAAGCAACAAATAAAAACATCAAGAGGATTGTCCAGAAAATGGTCAAAATTTACAAGGATTGGCACAAAATGCTTCCTTTTGCACTATATGGCTATATAACTTCAGTTCGTACTTCCACTAGGGCAACTTCGTATTCGCTCGTGTATGGTATGAAGGTTGTTCTGCCCATTAAAGTCAAAATCCCCTTGTTCAGAGTCATCATGGAAGCAGATATTGATGAAGCTGAATGGGTCCAATCTAGATACAACCAGTTGAATCTTATTGAAGAGAAGCGCCTGACAGCTGTTTGCCATGGTCAATTGTATCAGCGACGCCTCAAGCTAGATTTTGACAAGAAAGTTCTCCCTCGAGCGTTCCACGCAGGCAAACTCGTGCTCAAGAGATTTTCTACTGTTCACTCGGATCCATGTGGCAAATGGACTCCCAACTACGAAAGACCATTTGTTATAATAACTTGGATCATGTTACACTAGTAAATAAAAAAAAGTAGAATACACGATATGAGATACAAAGAAGCTTATTGTTTGAAATCAGATACAATTAGTAATTGTAAGGAGAGATAAAACAGATACCTTTGCATCAATTATAACCATCTCCAAGTGTTCTTTGTTATACATGCTTGTTATAGACCACAGATCTCTAATCCTAACAACAATCTTCAACAAATCTTCTAAATCATTGATATCCCTAATATCTTTAATTAGACGTGTCATTAGTTGCAACAACAACAACGATTTCACAATATTTTTAACTCGATTCAAAAGGAACAACAATGGGGACAAAAAAATGATTAAAAATGAACAACAAACAGGTCAAAGAAATAACACATGAAAGCATTTACAAATAGCAGAACATCGACTCACATGCGTGATACAAAACATACTATGATGAAGAATGCAAAACATTGAGTTGATATGAAAGGAAGAAGAAAGCTTAATACCTGGTATGCTTCAATTTCATGCAAATGGTGCATCGTGACTTTCCGTCTTCCGCTCCTTCAAATTCCTACGAATGGTGTAGATAAAAAGTAATTTATAATTTTAGGAGAGAGTGTTTAAATACCGACTATTAATATGTGTCAATTTCATCATTGGTTTTGACAATTAAGTTCTCAATCAATACATAAAGTATAATTAAAAGATGGGTAATGTTAATTTGTGCCCTTGGGGCACATGTTAAGAACTAAATTAAGAAATATCATCTTGAAAATTATGTACAAACTTAAATTAAAGTATAAAATTAATTTTTAAATTGTGTTTTTCAATACAAATTTACTAAAAGTGGTTTCTTTAACATGTGCCCCAAGGGCACAAGTTAACATTACCCTTAAAAAATTATTTGAAATGAAAAATGAAACGTGACCTTTTGAAATTTGTAGTAAGTTCGGTAAAGTTAATAACTATCAATAATAAAGATGAATGGTAAATAGTGGTAATTTAATATTAAAGAAGTATTAATTATAGAGAATATAATTAGTCAAAATTAACCTAAAAGTCAATCAATTTATACATAAAAAGGTGATTATGAAAAATGCATAGTCTAACATTTTATTAGATAAATATTAAATTCATAATAATTAAAAACGAGAAAAAAAATATTTACAGTATAAAATATTTTATACTATCAACTAATTACAAACCATATATTAAAATTAAATATATTTTTATTTTAAAAATACTAATATTACATAACAATTATAAATATTTTAATAAATTACATGTGTAAAATTGTTTTTAGTAAAAGTGTATTATTTTAAATTCATTAAAAAAATAGATTTACTTATTCTCCAATTGGCATAAAAAAACAGTGAAAAATTGATTGAAGTGTTCCAACCATTTGTACCCACTAGGGCCACTAATAATAATAAAAATAGAACAATAATACAAAGACTTTCGAAAGCTGAAAGCTTTTAGATCAGTTATCATCATCAGAGTTCAGAACTTTCTTATTTTTCACCAAATGGCGAGCGATAGGAATATTGGTGTAGCTTTAGATTTTTCCAAGGGAAGCAAGATCGCTCTCAAATGGACTATTGATAATCTTCTTCGCCACGGTGACACTCTCTATATCGTTCACATCAATCATTCCAAAAGCACTGAATCTCGTAATCTTCTATGGGTAACCACCGGTTCTCGTAAGTAATCAAACCTCTTCTCAAATCAAGATCTTACTATAGTTCTGATTATTTTGATGTGATTTTTTGTGTGGCTTAAATTTGATGAAGCTCTTATCCCGTTGTCGGAGTTTCGTGAGAAGAACGTGATTCACCAGTATAATATTGAACCTGATGCTGAGGTTTTGGATATACTTGATACTGCTGCTAACCAGAAACAGGTTTTTTGTTTTTGTTTTAATTCATGTTTGTATTTGATTTAGTTCATGTTTTTGTTATATGTTTTTTGGAGTTGAGGCTTACTTAATTTGAGATGAATATAGGTGACTGTGGTGGCGAAGGTTTTTTGGGGAGATGCAAGAGAGAAAATTTGTGAGTCTGTTGGAGATTTGAAGCTTGATGCTTTGGTCATGGGTAGTAGAGGTTTGGGTGCCGTTCAGAGGTACTTCTGTTTCTTTTCCTTTATGTTTCTTATTAATCCTCGAAAAATGTCACGGCCCCGAGATTACAGACGACATCGATACTATACTGTTATTCACTTTTTTTACGATAAAGAATAAATTGAAATTAATTCACACGGCGATAACTGCAGTGACTACTATAATCGAAATTGTGAAAGCTTTTACGCAACCGAGACATTATCTCCAATTTTTCATTGGAAAATTATAAAACATAATCCTTTTGCTGGCTGATTGTATTGTAGGGTATTGATGGGGAGTGTGTCTACTTATGTGACTTCAAATGCAACTTGTCCAGTAACAATTGTGAAAGTATGAGTCTCTTCTACTATCTGATATATGCTGCTGTGTTTGGTTGATCTCTTTGCAAATGGTTGTTCTCTTTGTTCTTACTTATTTGTGGTCTAGTATTGGTTGAGCACTGGTTATTTAAGACTATATTTTTAGTTTATATAAGTGCTTATGTTAAAGCCAAAAGTGTGTTAATAATTAACCTTTGTGCTGGATCTGTTTCAAATTTGCTACCTAACATGGAGTGGATTGACATGTTTCATGTTTGATACTCACTGTATTTATGTTTCAAATAATCATCAAAGTGTTATTTATGCAAATTCTGTGTTTTGTTTGTCTTCATCTTCATAAGGTTGTCTTTCTTTAACTATGTCTCATGGAAGTGTATCTTTCTTAAAGTATTGAACATGCATTACTCTCACTCATCTAAAAACAGCTATTAACTGTTAACTGAAGCAAGTGATTTACACCAATTAGAGATGAGTGAGTTGGTGTTATTATGTCAAATGAGTTTTCAAAAAGTTTATAACATGAGCTACAATTAAAGCTAAAAATTTAACTTCTCGTGTATTTCAATAACAATCTTTATTTTTTACCACTCTTTCCAAAATAGGAAAAAGAAAATTTCTTCCTCGAATGAATCTCACTATCCAAGATATTTGTAATGTATTTTCTAAACTACTAAAGAGTCTCTCTCAAAAGCTCCTGGCTAAAGAATCTTTCATGTTCATGCGTGGACTAAAATGCCCTTTCAAAGTCTTAGTAAGATCACATGTCTATTATATAGAATGTCCAAAAGCACCTTCGGAGAATCATAGGTCATTGGATCAAGTTCTGAGATCGATGTGCATTATATCAAAATTCGACAATAAAGCCTAATGCAGGTCTTGGATTCACATACGCACTTTCTAACTCTAAAATATTTCTCTTCTGATAATCACTAATTTGAACGTAAGAGTGTTTGCAAGTACGATCCCTCAAAGGTGAATTGAAACTTCAAGGCATCAATTGAAAATTGGAGTATACCATTAAATTTGAGTTCATCTCTCCATTGGTGAACACTTTAGATCTATGTTGTTGAATATGTGACTTCATACACAAAAGAGATGTGAATTGTGGTGGTTTGAAAACGTTGATTAAAATCAAATTTATTTTGAAACTCAGAGTTTGAAAATATTTTCTCAAAATGTTTGTATAAGCACCGAAAATTAAAGATAAAGAGACTGTGCGGAAAGTAAAAGAATTAAGGGAAGATAGATAGCACCCGATATTGATAGAGGTTCAGTTTTAAAGAAATGACCTACTCCTTTTTTCAAGAATTGATCTTGAAAGTATTCAATAATGTTTGAGAGTTTTTAGAAGGTTAAGCCCATGAACCCCCTTATACAAAAAATGAAGTTTCACGAAAACATCTAACCAAACAACGAACACAATTTTTAGCGATTAGTCTCCAAACAGAGAATACGCTAAAAGTGATTAGTCTTCTCGCCAAACAGTAAACATGCTTGAAGCGGATAATCTTCTCGCCAAACAGAGATTATGAACAATTTGATCTCGAACCAAATTGATCTTTTGAATTGGCTATCCTCCGAAACAAACTGAGATTTTACTTAGGTTGATCACAAACTGAATTGAGATTTTCACAAGGCTGATGTCGAACCTACTAAGCTTTGACACATGTTGAACTTAGAAACCAAATGAAATTTTACACCAGACTGATTTTTGAATTGATTGGGCTTTTAACCAGACTGAGCTCAAGAACCGTTGTGAAGATTTTTCACTGGTTATTCTTCATGAATCCAAAAGAGAGTTTTTCTTCAGTGGCGGGTTACACGAACCAAATTGAGATTTATGATAATCCCCAATAGAGATTTTACATCGGTTTATCTCCAAACTAAAATAATTACTTCTTAAGGAAAAATTATTTACCAAAGAGGAAAAAGAACTCTTAGTAAATATACAATAAAGTCCACACCTAGAACAACTTTATCACTAAATTCAAGAACGCTGTCAAAGAACTAGGACTAAAAATGTTGGATTAAAAATGTTTTAGAAAGATTGAAAGAAAGAGGAAAAGTGGAATATTTCATGTTTTTTGGATGATTTGAAATGAATGGGAAACCCTCTATTTATAGGCCAAGAAATGGTACATTTTAGGAAATAATCCATGGGAAAAATAAATTACCTAATTGATTAGGTACTAGAAATAGTCGATTATTGCTATCCAAATTAGAAAGTTTTGATAGTGAGTTGTTACCATTAATTAAGACATTATCACAGATAATTATAGACTCAATTATCCCTTATCTAATCAATTAAGATAAATATCTAATTGATTAGACACTTATAAAAATTCTTATATTAAATTGGACAATCTCCTTGCTAACAGGTGTAGTAATATATTTGTAAGAACCCTATGTAAGGGCGGCCCGTAGTCCCCGCCCCACGAGGGATCGCTCAGGAGGCACCTTTATGTTACATTAGGGACTCTCCCTCATGAAAGACGTGTATTTTACCGTTGCCTAAACACTAACTACACGAATGAAGTCATACCGTGACTCCCTAAAAAGTAAGCGACCAACAGTCCACCCCAATCAAGAATTTATTGAACCCTAGGCCCAAAGGGCCTCTATAAATATCTCTCCCCTAAAGGGCGATAGACATATCATTATACCCACCGTATAACATATAAATCACGAGCCTCTCACCTCACACGAGTTGGCTCTCTCTTACCACTATAAACATCACCAAATAATGTCTCTCACCATCATTAGCAAATCCAAACCACCCTTAACTACAAATGTCTCTGAGTATCTTCTGCCCGCGTAGGAATACCACACACTCTTCCGACCCTGCCCACTTCGGATTTGTAGTAACTTTGGTCGACTTCTATGTTCTCGACAATGCCATCTTACCTCTAGATGGCGACTTTTTGGTGCAGTGTTGAGGGCACTGCTCCAATCCATGTATTCACTCACTTTTTCCAAGCAGAAGGTTATAATTCGCATTGGACTTAATGACCATGAATAATGTTGGTGTGGAAGTCGAGCGAACTGATAAGTCAACCTGGATTACACCCAGTATGTTACTGGTCTTGCCTTTATAACTGGACAACACCATGTTATGGGGTCTAAGATCTTCATCCGTTTTTCCCATTTTCTTGAATAGTGAATACAACATCAGGTTGACTATCGCACTTCCATCAACAAACACTTTGTTAACGTCTATGTTGTCTACCTTCGCTCTAATAAATAATGGCTTTAGGTGATACATCATCCTAGGATTGGGCCTTTTAAATACAGCCTGATGTTCTTCGACCATGCAATTATTTATGATGTAGTACCAAAGAGGCTTCTAGTTAGTAGTCTCATTCTGTACAAAGTCCATTTTAGCCTCGGACACTTCCAAACACCCTATAATACTCAATTGGTAGCACTGAAACCATACCATAATTTATCTGCAGATCATCCTTAGAGTCTTCATCAAAGTTGTTTTCGACCATTTCATCATCAGATTGGGGTGTGTACTCCGACTCTTTTACTTCCGATTGAGGAGTATATTGGGGCTCCTCCTCCTTATGTTGGGAGTGTACTCTAGAGTTTTGTCCTCAAATTTTGGAGAATATTTGGGTGTCTTTGCCCTCACCCTTGGTTCCTCTTTACTCACGCAGGCCTCCCTCAAACTTGGCCTTCGAGAGATTGTCAGCTTGTCCTCCATGTTCAATATCTTCGAGTAAGGCTTCTTTGGAGCCTTTGACACAACTAGATTGTGCTTCGCCTCTGGGGCATCACGCTTTGTTATGAAGGTTTCTCTTTCAGCCTTCTTCTTTCTTTGATGATGCCTCCATTTGGTAAGCGTCATAGTGTCGCTTTCGCGAAAATAAGGTGCCGGCACAACAGAAGAGTCGCTACCTTTCGTTATTTATCCCTCAGAGCGGGAAAGGAAACGATCGGAAAAACCTGACGAAAAAAGGGTAAGACAAGGTCATCGCAACCATTGTCTGGGTTCGGGAGTCGGTTACGCAAGGGGAAGGTATTAACACCCCTCACGTCCGTCGTACTCGACATGATCCTCGCTTGTTGTGTTTACTTGGACGGGTCGGTTTTATTCTATCTACCTATCAAGGCTGGCTGAAAAAGAAAAGAAAAATGACTCGGCAAAGCGTCGCACTTTATGCCTACGTATTCTCATCAGAGAATGAGAAATCAGAGTCAACGTAGTTCGGCCTACGAAGGGTTATGGGGGAAGGTAGCTCGCCAAGACATCGCCATCTTGTGCCTACGTACTCTCAACAGGCATGAGAGATCAGAGCTCACGTAGTTCGGGAAACTACGGTTTATTTCCTGTCTTTTACGAAAGAAGTGTTTTTTATTGTGTTTGCGATTTCAACCACACTAGAGACTATGACCTGAGAATGAATGCGTCGCATGTCACCCAAAGGGTACCATACTAAACATCCAGACTGTGGAAAAGAAACTCTCCCACAATCCTTTCTCAGATAGCTTAAGGCTCGTAACGTACGAAAGAAATCATTCATGATTACTGTATCTTAAACTGTTTTGAGATGAGAAGAGAACAGGCCCAACTAGGAGGGAGACTATCAAGTCCTACTGTTGTCATGCCATGGATTCATCCCATGGTTGAGGTTTGAACAGGGAACTCCTAGAAGTTGTCATGCATAGGTTTCAACCTAAAAGTCTATCATCAAATCCTTATCAAAGGAAATGAGAGTCCTAAGGGATCATGTCAATGATACACCAAAACAGACAAAGCATCAACTTAACAGTAAAATGCATGCAATGCAAGTGAGGGAGGAAATGTGTGTGGGGCTTCAGCCTCCACAAGCTCATCTCAACCTCAAGCCAGAATGAAATAACAGTAATCATACTGAAATATAAACAACATGCTATCAAGCAATAAACAGTAAACTGCAATCATACAGATAAAATGAAATGAAATGCCATCAGGCAAACAAACCACATGGGCAAGGGAGCTGAGCTCTACCGAATACCCGCAAGCAAAGCCAC